AGAGTATAAATTAGGTATTCGTTATTTGTAATTATTTAAAAAAAAATAAGGATAACAATTCAAAGTTATCCTAAAAAAATACATTGGATTTTATCATAGATTCAAAATTTTACTAATTAAATTCAAAGTTAAACTATTAAGAAGTTAACAATTTCATATATTTTACTAAATTCTTTCCCTATTAGATTCCATATACGAATCGGCTGCAACCAAATTTATCGATATGTAAAATTGGTAGCCTAATATAATAAGGAATGTACAATTAAAAATTCGTCTATATCTTATAAAATACGAAGAAGCTAATGAATTTTTAGGTTGTTACTTAAAATAGCCAGTTAATTATAGATAGAAAGCATTAAAATAAGTTCCCAGCCCCAAATTGATTAATTACCAAGCAACAAACCTTCACACGAACTAGAGGTAGTATAACTTTATAAAACATACAAAAATGCTTCACCAGTGCTTTTTATTCAGAATTTATAATTAGATTTGGCGGAGGCCCGCCCTTTTGAATAACTAAGAGATGGTACAATTTACACACTGGTGTGTTGTCTTTACAAACAGCCTAATCTTTGTATATTTATTTATTCGTCTAGAGCAAGATAAGTATTCATTTATATTAAAATCACATTAATATGATAAATGAATATATGTGTTTTTTCTTTATGTTTGTAAGTAATTGTTTTTTTTTACTTCTTCAAGTTGTAACGACTCAATATTTTATTTATAAATATTTTATTATCTAGTTACGTTTTAACGTTCAGTATAGATTTCTCAGAGATGAGATATTTCCCGCAGTAAAAAGTATCTTATATGTTGACCCAGATAACCGGCTATCATCATACCAAATTTCATCAAAATCTGTCCAGTGATTTTCTCGTGATGCGTTCCCAGGCAGACATACAGACAGACAGACAAAAATTCTAAAATCTATAGATTTGGCCTCTGTATCGATAATAATGACTATATTAATAAGATTTTCCAAAAAATATTTAATTTACAGTTTCGACTCAGAATTTTATTATACCTATGTATGTATGATTAAGAAAAGTATTTTATTAATTTAATTTCAAACGTGTTGTAATAAGTCTATTTGAAACACGGACCAAAATATGTCATATTAAACAAGTGCATAAATATATGATAAGCTTGAAAATTTGTATAAAAAATTGAACAATATTTAGAGTTTGTAGAGATATTGAATTACTAATCAAATTAACATTCATACTTAATTTTTCATGTTAATAAGTATTGAGTGTCATTTTATGAGTAGAACAGAATGGAATATTGTGTACGTTAATATTTAATATCTAATATTATTATTGGTCTTAAATAAAATTCTAAAATCTATAGATTTGGCTTCTGTATCGATAATAATGACTACATCAATAAGATTTTCCAAAAAATATTTAATTTACAAAAAAACCTTTCCGGATGTTTTCGCGGATTTATTTTGATTTTTAGTTTCCAACGTTCCGAATGCTTTACACTTTACAGCAATCATTTATACATTGTAAATTATAGATATTTATATAGTTAATTATCATTTGTAAATTGTATTGTTGCTATATTTTTATTTAAATTATTTAAGCTAATGATTAATCTAGAATATTAATTACTATGTTTTTAAAATCTTCATAATTGTGAAAACGAACACAAGGATATGAAAGATGGTTACGCATAATTGTGCTGTATTTTAATTATTTAACTTAAATGTTTTACAAGAAATACATGCAATAACCACTAGCAAAACTTATTAAAATAAATAAATAAATAATAAAATTTTATAAATAAATAAATAAAAAAATATTAAAATAAATAAATCATGGTCACGGGAGAGAGTTTATTATAGATTTTGTTGGTTCACTTATAAAGGAAACCGCTGGCGTTTGCGAATTAAGCCAAGTGTAAAGAGTCAGCCAGGAGGCGGGCTTGTAGCGATGAGGTAAGGATAAAAATTCGATTACAATTAAATTAACTGCACTCATATTTGTTTTTCATTAGCTATATCTGATTTAAAATATAAAAGCTTTAATAAAAATACATATATTTAAGTCAATTCTGCGAATTGTTTAGGCAGTATTCTGTAGGCTATGTTTAAACTTTTTTATTTGTAAAGAATATATAAAAAAATGATGACTTTTGCAATTTTAAATTTACACTTATATGTATATCTAATGTGAGTGCTTGTGAATAAGTAGTAAGAATCAGTTTTAGAAAATTTATTTTATTTAAAAAATCTGAAACCCTTTTTTTGTGTGTTCATTTCCAATATATATTTTGATTTATTTTTCAGTTTTTTTTAGACGACTTATTTTATTTAATTAAGATGAAGCTCTTTTGCTTTGATCGTTATAACGTTCTATATAGATTTAAAAAATATATACAATACACTGATGCTTTAGGCAGTCAAAGATTGTATTTTTTTTTAAACCCGATGTTTAAAATTTATTTCTCAAAAAAAAAAAAAAGAAAACGATGAACTTTAACTGTTTGAGAAAATAACTAATAAGATATAACCTAATAATAAACATAAGCATACAGGTGGTACAGAAAAACGAACCTATACGTTTAATAATATGTACTTCTTGGAGCTTTTCTTGAATATATGTACCTATAATATGTAGAAATTATATTCGTATAAGATTTATTAAATACATGATTTGATTTTGCAAAAATATAATAAATCAAAAAAATACAAGTTGTAACTTATTGAAAAAGTAAAAACTTCATCAGCTCCCGTAACATAATGTTTAGTAATTCCGAGATACATTACCAGAGCCATATTTGTAAACCGGAATCGATTCTATATAAATCGAAAGCTTTTAAATCAATTGAAACAATAATCGTTAGCTTAAAGCAACATTATAATTGAATTTGTTATTAATTGCTCTTTTCAAATCGACCTACGCTCTTCCCACGGCTGTTCATAATTGAATTTCTTATTGGATTATATTTTAATTAGACGTGATTACGATAGGAATGAGTATCATTCACCCGGTATTGTTTCGAAGGATGATTGATGGGAAACTCCTGATGTCTAACATCCCCGTGATTGATGCTGAACGGCTGTTAAAATCCAAATTGGATTATGTTTTTTTTTCTCGTTTGTCTCTCGTACTACGTTTATTGAAAGTTTATAGCCTGTCTGCGAGTTTTGAATGAATTATGTAGAGTGGACAGTTTATAACAGCCTATTAATATGAAAGTTCTATTCAGTTTTGAATATATTAATTGTATTCCGATTTGTGGAGCGTTATGGTATTTGTCTGTTTGTTCTATCTATTCCTGTCTAGAGCTTATTGTTCTGGTAATGTTAGTTTTTAATTTCTGCCATAGAAAACAATTTTTAAACTTAAGTTTATAATGCATTAGTAACATTTTAGTACAAATAAATATTTTGTTTATATTCAATTTTTCAAAGTAATGAACATACCCTACCCCGAACTCTCTGCCCTTTATAAAATAAAAATTGGGATAACTGTCTGTTAAAACACTTTCTACTGGTTGTCTCTATCATAATATTATACAAGTTGTTCGTTATATTAGAATTTTACTTATAAAAGTAATTTAAATATTCATTGAAGAGGGAATTAAAATAAAATACGCCAATCATATCAACCATTTATTATGGAACCCTTATAATGTTTTAATTATTCAATTTTACTACCCCTTTTGTACAGAAATGTTTAGACAATATCTGATATGAAGGTTTTCACAAATGTTTCTTTGGTGTTACATATACAATACTAGCGGACCCGACAGACGTTGTCCTGTCTACAGGTCTTTAATTTGAAAATTTCAAACTTTTTTTAATAATTTTTTTGATAAAAATTATTATTCAAATTGTGAATCTAAACCATTCCCAGATCCCCTTGAACACACACAAAAAATTTCATCAAAATCGGTCCAGTCGTTTGAGAGAAGTTCAGTGACATACACACTCACAGAAGAATTATATATATAAAGATACATATATTATCAATCAAGATCACTTAAATCAAAAATTGAATCGGTAATCATATGAACTTTTGGAGTAGTGAGCAGGAAATGCAAAATCAAAAATTATGCCTACATACGTGTATCTTTCGACCTGTCTTTAAAAAGATATATCTTGTAGACCTTTTTATATGAAAAACGTTACAATGAATTGTCAGTATGAAGAGGAACATATAAACTAAGAAATTAAAATAATAGTACTGTGTTTGATTATTCTTTGAAAATAAACGACTACTTTAAAATCACAGGCAAACACTTTATTTACTCACTACCTTTATTATTGACATGAATATTTCTGAAAATATATAGGTATATATACATATATATTTTTAAACATATCAACCTTTTATTACAATAACAAATAAAACCATTTGTGCACTAAACATCATTTATGTAATTATTGTCTTAAGTAGCTTTCCATATGAAAATAAATATTTTGTGATTTTTTTTTTATATTTATATGAATATTTTTGTAAACAAACTTAAAATGAAAATGTAAAATTACCTATAGGTACTTATCAATTAGAATAAATAACAATACGAACAACTGGACGGATCATTTAGCAATAATTATAAACTATTTTATTTCTTTACTTATGTTATAATAATGACGACTTAATACATACATAGGTATATCATGAAGGTATTCGTGTAACCTAACATTATCTCATCTTGGGCAATGTTAATTGTGCTACTGACATAAATGCCATATTTTCCCATTATTTAGAAGAAGTACAGGCTTACTGTGTAATACTGATTTGTTTATTTATAAGTAAAAATTTAATACATTTAAGTAGATTATGCAAAATCAGATCATGTAAATTTACCAAAAACTTGTAATAAATGTCATTACATGACAAAAAGTGGTTGCTTTTGAAAAAATGTCTTCAATTAGAATTTTCTTTGTAGAGAACTTTAAATATAAGCCAGTAGCATAACTGATAATATGATCTTTCTAACAACAATTTAATCACTATTGTCTAACACAATTGCCTAGTTCAACTAATTAGGTCGGTGTGATGTCTCTGCCTGAGCATTTCCAGCCTTAGTTCGTGTTCTCTTGCAGCCATTCTAAGGGCTGCGATGCTCGAACTTCTTCTTTCTACTTCTGGGCCTTGTTGACTTGGAGGGGATTCACTTCCAGGGGATATAGGAGGGGACACTGGTGGGGGGTCGGGGGACTGCCGAGGTGGTGCAGCAAGACCAGCCAACAATGTGTGGAATGGAGGCGTAGATGTGGAATATAACGGCGCAGAAAATAAGGGTGGTCGTGATAGCGGAGCCCCTAGATACTGAGCGCCCAAAACCGGAGAGCTGCCATATCTGTAGAGAAATAAAAATTTGTTAATGGAATGTGATATAAAATATATTCTTTTAAATGATAGAATTTTACTAATTTAGGTTATATTTTCTTTTAAAATTTTATTTAAAAACATTTTTTAGTACAAAATTGATACGAGTGTAGAGTTATGTTATTTCGCGTATTGACAATTATCTTTGTTTTTTAAAGCTCAAGAATTAAACTACAGATTTAAAACAGTGAAAACAGAATAAACCTATAATTAAATAACTCACCTAAATGAAGCAAGTGCGTTTGCATCAAAAGGTTTTCGAAAGCCAAAACCTAGTTGTGAAAAGGGATTAGGCATTGAAGCTACCACTGAGGGCGGAGGGCCTCCTCCTGCGCCTAGATAAGGGTTGTATGGGTGTGCTTGAGGACCAACTTTTTCTTGCTTTCGCCATTTTGCTCGACGATTTTGAAACCATACCTATAAAGGAATAAAATGATATTTTATTTGGGCGTATTAAGCTCACATCTCCTAATTATTAGCTAATAGGTAATATTTTAATATCTGTTACTTTCATATGTTTATTTTTTGGCTTAGATAATAGTATAACGATTCTATTTTGGATATATTTTTAAAGTTACACTTCTTTTGGCACGTTTGAAAAAAAAATTGAGAGTAAAATTTTTACGATGTTACGCCAAACAAGTATAACTTGTTACGTGCGTGCACACACACACTATTTTTTTTTTAAATTAATAATGTGATATATGTAGATACCTTGCAATGTACATTGTACAGCACAATATTTTTTTATTATTTTATTAGATTTACAAATTAAACAAAATTATAAATGTACGAGTTGCATGTATAAGTGCGTTTATTAATTATGCTTGCGATTCACATATTTTACTACATTCTTTTTTCTACTGTACACCGCTGCTTCATCAAACAACTGCCTTACTAAGAATTTTATTTAAAAAATACAGAATATTATTAGGATAAATTAATAGTAATTAAGAAACATATTAGCATTTATTTCTTAATTCAAAAGCGAATATTACAAAATGAGAATATTTAATTCAGATCCAAAGTCCGCTAAGTAAGAAATATGGACTAAGTTAGTTCTATGGCAAGGCACCCTGGTGACTGTTTAACATTGTAACGACTCCCAAATTGTGGTCAAAAATAATATAAATTCTATTTCTGTAATTAATTAATTAACAAAGCATATTGAATTACAATGAATTGCCAATGATTTCCTACGGTGGTAAATTTTCATTTTTTGGTCATTCATTTGCTTTTGAAGTAACTCCGTATAAGGATTATTTTGTATAGGATAAAATGTACATAAAACTATTTTTCAAATATTTATTTTTGTCTCAGTTACCTCTTATAATTGTGATAACTTTATAATATGTGCAAAATCGATATTGTGATAACTTGACAAGGAAGTAAATTTCCTTATATGGAAAATACAACATATATGTACTCGTTTGTATATAAATATGTATTGTATACACTCGATATGTTATTAAATTTTTAATTTGGAAGTAGGTAAGTATACCTAAATTGAAAATTATTACAAGTTTTTTCAAAATAAGTGCGACCCTAAAAATTTATGCCATATATACGAGTACGTACTTACGTAGTAATTGATAATTATTTTATTAAAACTTAATAAAGTGTAATGTTATGTAATAAAACATAATTGATTATTTAATCAGAAACATGGACGTAATTTTTTAAATTGTGGGCTTACAGCGGTGATTTTCGCAAATCTCAAAACACGCTACACAAAAAACGTGTTTAACCCGTCCACCTTGATAGCGGGTAAAAAGTTGCAATGATTGATTTATTTCTCATATAGGTTCAATATTTAATCGTTAAATATGTATGAGAGCCATACGGAGACGAGCCACGATCATTATGTAAAGCGATATTTTTATGGTAATTTAAATTAATTCGCTTATGATAAATGCGGATCGCTAAAAAGAAGTTTCTGTAAATGTCGCGATTACTATACTGTTGCAAAAAATATGTACATTTTAAAATTTCGACGGACGAGTTAATTTCGTTCTAATAGATTGATATATAGAGCGTATTTTGTGTTGACGTTAATGGTTTCATTGAGTGCATAATTGTATTGTAATATAGGATGGAGTACAGCTTTCGAATTTTATCTGCAATTGGAGGTTAGCAGGTAAGAAGAATGTAAAGTGAAGCAAAAAAACCAGATGAGGATAAATTGTCTGAGAATATAAGAGCTATATTAAAAACTAGCGACCCACCCTCGCTTTGCTATGTACGTTTTAATTTTTTTTAAGCGGAACCCTAATTCTTTTTCTAAAATTAAAGAAGTAAGTCACTTCTTATAACATCAGCTACCTGTCAGTGAAAGTCCCGTCAAAATAAGTCCAGTAGATTCAAAGATTAGCCGGAACAAACAGACAGACAAAATTAAAAAATATATATTTTTCTTATAAGTACTGTATGTAATTTCATATGCATTTAGTAAAAAGCTTTTATTTTGACATTACAAACATACACTTTAATCTTATTTATCCGTATAGATTCCTTTGTAAAATGTGTAGTTTCCACGAATAGGTCAGTTATAAATTGTTAATGTTTAATTAATAGTAGAGCGTAAAGATAGTTAATAATAAATTTAAATTTATAAGTAGAGAACTAAAAATATATAATCTTTGAAAGGTAGAGAGTATTTCTTATTAAATGTTAAAAGGAAATGGCAGTTGTCATATAAGCGTTACTTCAAATAAGAAAAAAAAATATAATTCAGCATTTTGTTCTGGATAATCTTTGTACAATAAAAAACATATATGATTGCGCTAAAGAATAATATTTAAAAAAAAGCTATGCTAAGTAGGTGAAGATTCTTAACTTCTGAGTAGAGTTTGGTCCAATAAGACGCCATGTAAATGATAAAGTTATTATATAATTTAAATCGCATCAAATTATAAATACTATCTAAATATACGATTTAAAATAATAATAATAATAATGCAAGTACACACTTTGTCTGGTAATTTATCACGAACGGATATACGCGTCAAAGATAACATAAATGGATGTAAAAGTATATTAAAGTTTATCGGCGTCTAATGATTTATTTTGTGATTGTAAACTCACTTTGAATTTACGTTCCGCAAATAAATTTTATTACTGAGGATATCAAGTCTAAATGTGTTTTATTGTTTAGTCATATTATGACAATTGTATTATTAAGAAATAAATTTAATATTTATTTTAATATATAAGTAACTAGCGACTCGCTTTGGTCGGGTAAAGGGATTTCCGGAATAAAAAATATCTTATGTCCTTCCTAGAGTCTCAAACTATCTTCTTACCAAAATTCATCTAAATCGGTCCAGTAGTTTTTGAGTTTATTCATTACAAACATACAAAAATACAAATCTTTCCTCTTTATAAGAGTAGTGTAGAACAGTAGATAGTAGATATGGAATTTCATAAACAAAAAAATTTTGAAGACTTTTTCTGGAGAGAGGGTTCAAATAATCTCAATAGGAGTACATTATATTCTGAAGTATTTTTAACTTCGTTTAAACAAACATAAATAATACACTATTTGGTATACTCGAATCCAATGACCAATTCATCAAGAAATAGTAATACAGAAAAATAAAGTAAAAAAAAATTATAACATGGTATAGACATACAATGAGCCGGTAAATAGGCCATCAGGAAAATAGGTAGCAACATTTTTATTAATGTAGGAAATCTTTACCAATCATTATATTGTATCTAAGCCTGGTTACATGATTTATTTCAGTGTAAGTTATGTATAGAACAGATGAGTTGGTGCCTCAGACATATTAGACGGTCTTGAGTCTCGTTATTGGGTCTATAACTGAAGCGTCTGTTTGGTATATTAGCAACGTGGGATTTAGGTCGCGTCTGAAAGTCGGGGTCTAGGTTCATGCATCAATGCATCGGGTGGCATTAAATATCGTTCATAAGGTAAAAAAAATATATATTAATAAGTATCTTGTTAGTAGCAATTATTATGAATAAGGAAATATTTCTATTTATACACTATCTGCTATATGATTTTTTCCTTCTTTTCCATGTCTAGGGGCAATTAATTGATGGTAATATTTGTTATACACCGCTGTTTGCTGGTATATTTATATTTTAAAAGAAACAAATTAAATAGACACACACCTCGCATTGCACATGTATACACAGAAACGGGAGCAAAAGCTGTATATTTAAATAAATTCGACTGATTTTAATGATTTTAACTATATTTTTAATTCACACACCAAAAAAGTCTCATTAAAAAAGCAATTTAACTAATTGGCATAATTACCAATTTGGCCTCTTTGGTTGCAATCTTTTTAGTATTTTGTTAAATACGTATGTAATATATCATTATGAAATTTTACTATAATGAAATTATTTTAATACCTACATGAAATCCTTTTTTAGGAAAAAGTATGTTCTACAATATTCATGTACTTTGAATTATTTTGAGTTTGGCACATCGTTCAGACACAACGGAAGGAATGGTATTAATATTCAGTAACATCTCTATAATACGATTTCAGTCCTTCGGCACTCTTAGTCTATTCCATTATTTTAGTCTGAGGTTTTACACGCCTTTTACCAAAAAAATCCAATTTGACCAAATTTACAGTATATAGGTAATTGATTTTAAACATATTTTATATGCGAAAGCTATCCTTCGTTAAAGATAAATAATGCGATAAATTGTCGTATCGAACTTAATTAAGTTGTTCCGAAAATAGCTTGGACAGCATTGGTTGAATCGTTTTATCGGTGAACGCCTAATTTGTATTCCGATAACTGTTTGCATACATGTGTCGCAACCAAATGACATAAGCGATACATTTTTTAATGTAAATTGGGATCCATTAAAAAGTTACATACATTTTGCTATGTATTTCTACAATAAAAATGTGAAAATTCGTCTGCAAATTTAATTTCTATATTTGGCGCAGAGATAGCTAACACTGTAGAGATCTTTGGACGTGGGAAAAAACAAAATTATATAAGCATGTATAAAACAATAGAATCTCAAGAGCTATAGTAACGATATGTATCTTAATAGAGTCAGGCTTTAGGTACTTCTACTTTAGCGCTAGTAATAATAACATAAAAAAAAAAGTTGCGATATGTCGTGGGCCACCCGGTAGGTACGAAGTTTATTGCAATGTCTGCCCTTGGCACATAAATTAGGTCATAAAAATTGTCACGAGTACCTACTAGGGTATCATAAACATCAAGTGACGTACATTGTCATGTTGGAAGCTTATCGACGAAAGGCCTGCACAGTGTGCACATGAATTTCTTACAACATATGTATGTATGTATGTATGTATGTATGTATGTATGTATGTATGTATGTATGTATGTATGTATGTATGTATGTATGTATGTATGTATGTATGTATGTATGTATGTATGTATGTATGTATGTATGTATGTATGTGTCAATTAATCCAGTACGGCCAACATGTACACAGTTCTACGCGCTACGCGAAATTTAATGAGATTGTTACTATAAAAGAAAACTTGCTCTGATAGAGATTAAACTGCATATAAAAAAGTATTTATGGGTACAAACATCAATTACTGGATTACTTTCATTGACTTTATTTTCATGTCTGTTTCGTTGACACTTCATAGTGCAAAATCATTGTCTTGTACAAAGTTCCACGAAGATCACATCCATTCGAATGAAATTAATAAAAAAATAAATAAATACAGATTCTTCGAGGTGTAATTTAACCGCAATTTTGCAAATTACATGCAGTTAAATTTGTATCAGAGTCGATTAATCACTATAATCAATGTGTTGTACATGTAATTGGTAATTAGGTAAATTGCTCGCAATTCACTATGTCGTGACGCAAATATTTTAATTTCATTATAATACCTGTATTCTGGCTTCTGTTAATCCGATTTTCATTGCCAACTCCTCTCTGAAACAAACAAATTTATGTTTAAATACTAAAAGTATTTTAATTTATGAGGAAATAGGAATAAGTTGAGGACGGATATAACGGTTATAAATAATCTGTTTTTTTTTTTTTACTTAGCATGTCATGGAGTGGAGGCTTATTCGACTCTGTATATAACTTCATTTTTTAGAATCGATGATATGATAGGATGATGACATATTTTGATCACGTGACATAAAACATGTCTTCGGCATTTATTAAATCAGCAAGTATTTGCAAACAGACTAACAACGTCTGTAAAATTAAGAATATAATACCTACAATCTTACTTTAGTGTAGTGTTTAATATATGTTATATATTAGGTAACATTTATGGCATGTTATCATTTAATTTGATTTGATCACATTGTCATTTAATTTATTCCGAATTTCCTAATTTTACGGATATTTCCACTTTTTTTTCCATTTTTAATTTTTCAACCTATTACCAATATTACAAAAAAAAAGTTAATTCGGCCCAGCCTTACTCAAGTAAAGCGCTAACCAACATAGAGAATGTACATACGTATGTCTACGACTGCATAATTTTATGTACCTTCCTCAATTTATTTCCATCATTTTAGTTCTCTTTTTACGTATCTAGTGTTTTTTTATATTTTTTTTTTCAATTTGATAACCTTCAATATATCATATCTTTAGATATCGTAATGATAAAATGCAATAAAAAATAATTTATAAAAAAACCTAGATTATTTACAATCAAAATAAATATTGTAACGATATTGATAATATTAATGCATTTCAATTTTAATACACAAATATAAATTAGTAGGAATTATCATATAATACTTATCTTTTATCAAATTATTTATGAGAGCATCATAAAAGTATTTATGTTCGCATTGTAATTGTAATTTCATTAATAAATAGCACGTTAATGTAATGCGTGTAAATAGTGTTAGATATACATATGCAATCGTTTCTTAAATGGGTAACATACTAAAATTTTGATTTGCTGGACATAAGTACATGAATGTACACTCAACTTTTGTGATAGGTGCTGATTAGACATAAATATACATATAAATATTAATTTCAGACCCAGAACCCCTAATATCATATTCTTTTTTATTTATATTCTTTCAACAAACACTTAACAACAATAATTAAACACTCTACTATTATAATACTAGTTGTATTGTAATAAATTAAGTATCTAATTATGTCGTATTTTTATAATGATTCAATAAAAACACATACCTTTATAAAAATATGTAATAAGGGAAAAATTATTCACGTAGGGAACCTTTCGACAAAAAATATTGCTATCCAAAAGGGGCATTTAGATTCTAGAGCGTAGATAATCTAAGTATCAAGATAATATTTCCTGTCATAAAGATAGCAAACAGATAAATAATATATACCTATTTCCTCTTATTTATTAATTTTGAATCTGTATCTATACATGTATTTAATGACGGATGTGAATTTAGACAAAATTCCACTCTTAAGTGAGGAAAACTAATACTAATATTAGTTTATGCATTAATAATATTATTCCAAGAAAAACTACTGGTTCCCGCGAGACAGGAAACGTAATTTTCATGTGTTTTAATATTCCAGAAGTTGGCTGCTTTTTTTAAGACTAATTAACTTAATTAAACATTCTGTACTAACCTCGTAAAGACGTCAGGATAGTGTGTTCTGGAGAATGCCTTTTCCAACTCTTCAAGTTGAAAACTTGTAAATGTGGTCCTATATCTTCTTTGTTTTCTTTTGGGAGCAAATTCGTCTGCATCATCGCTGTCTGCGGACCCTGGAGGAGGTCTCTCTGACGCAGGGGATTGGTCAGCACGAGATAGCTCAGGAGTTGTTCTCGGGGAATCATCTTTTGTAATTTCTGATACTCCCATACTATTATACTTATAGGCGTCTTGATGATAGTAATCTGCAATGCAAATGGTGTCATTAGATATTGTCTTTATTAAATTTATTGCGTGATGAAAATCATACTTTTTATATTTTCAAACATTGTATATTCAAATGAAGAGTTTTGCATCGAAGGAGGTCAGGGATGCATATTACGCCCATTATTAATCTTGAATTTAAATATTTAATATTGGTAATCATATCGCACAGAATATCAATAGTGTAACAATGTTTAATGATTTCTAGGATTCCGCTGATGAGAAACGTAAAGTTCTTAAAGCGAAATCTGTATTGTTCTTGTAGAATATTTTCTCTAGTAGAATTAAAATAAAACATGGACCTATTAAAATTAGTCATTTAAAAAAAACTTAAAACAGTAGCTGAAACTGTTTAATTAGATTAATTTTCGTCGGTTTTTTATACATCTTATACATTGATTCTTATTTTTCCAGTCATATCTGTTATTGCGGATGAAAATTTATATGTATCAATATTTGAAAAAAGAATTGAAACGTGAATTGCAATCAATTACTTTTGCTTTTAGTTAATTTTTCGTACAGAACCTAAGTTAATAAATAAATGAAGAGGTTGAATGTCTAATTACCCGATAAAATGGCGGTAATTGGGATTAATTTGATTATTAATAATATAATTTGCGTGTTAGTAGGCACGAACTGTAATTAATGATAGTAAGGCTCAGTAATGAAATACCGTTTTGAACGAGAAAATCTAGTCACGAAGGTGTAATTTAGTCAATGATCTCAAATAAATATTTAGTAAAAAAATTAATAGATGTTAAACCTCTATTAAAAGATATTTTCTCAGAAATAGAAATGATAAGGTTACGGGTGGATACACATAAACACAATACAATTCAATGGTGTAAAATTAGCACGACTATTATCATTTATTTATTGTATTGGGTGTGGTGCCGAGGTCGGCCCTAGCTACGTCGACCAGTTATGGTCCATTGTAGCACCCTTTAGAATGAATTTAAAGTTCTCCGCTTAGTCATGTTGACTCCAGGAACTTCCAGATTTTCTGAGCGGGGAGCATCTGTATCTCTTCCGGTTGCATAATATGCTGCCCTAGATAGATACTTCTGCGGTGCATGAGTGGACCGCACGAGCAGATATGCTTAGCAGTTTCCTCTGTCTCATGGCATAGTCTGCACATTGCGGTCCGACTGAGGCCGAGGGTAAACATATGTTTATTGAGTTTGCAGTGGCCAGTAAGTATTCTGGTTACCGTACTGGTTTTATACTTGTTGAGTTGAAGCAACTCTTTTGTAAAGGTTTTATGAAATCCCTTAATTAGCGCTTTAAAGTGTGTTTGTCCAGAAGTGGATTGCCACTCTTGAAGTGCTTTGTGATTGCAGTGGTTTTTGAGAATTGAATAGGCATGTTGTTTGGCAATACCACAAAATGGCTCGGGGCCACATTCTGGGGTTTCAGCGCCCATTCTTGCCAATGCATCAGCCTTTTCATTCCCGTCTATACCTGAGTGATCCGGGACCCATCTGAGGGTGACTCTGTTGGATGTGCCCAGGACATTCAGATTATCCATACAGTTTTTAACTAACTTAGAGTTGGTCTCAAGAGAATCTATAGCCAAAAAGCTGCTTGGCTATCTGAGTTGATGTAGATATTTTGGTTTCTAAGCTTATTTTTAAGTTTTGTAAAGTTAAACACTGTGCTCATGCCATCCACTGGCATTTTTAGAGTTTTGCGTTCGAATGTCAACTCTTTGAGTTTGTTCATATATTGCGATTGCAATTTTACATTCGATTGTGTACAGAGCCTGTAGAGGCAGGATTTAGCTTCTTTATGCACGTGGAGATATAGCTGAGCTATGTCCAACAAAGCATTGAGAGCGTCGCCTGGTGCCGAATGGAAGGCTCCCGTGATGATTAGACATGTCATCCGTTGTACACTGTCTAGTTTACTTACAGTTGTCTTTTGTTTGGTTTTGTTACACCATACGACTGAGGCGTATGTTATGATCGACCTTAACACAGCGGTGTACATCCAGAGAGCCATTTTGGGTTTGAGACCCCACTTGGCTCCAGCTATTCGACAACATATCCAGAGGGCCATTTTGGCTTTTTGGATAATGTTGTTGAGGTAAGAGTTCCAAGTCAACTTTTGATCAATAATGACTCCAAGGTACTTTACCTGATTTGTTAGGTTAAGGGTTTTGGCATTGAGTCTGAGTTCAATCAGCCTTTCAAGCTTCCTTTTCCTGGTGAATGGTACAATAACTGTTCTATCAGCGTTTCTTGACAATTCATTTTCTCTGCACCATCTTGTGATGGTGTTGAGAGCCCCTTGTAACCTGGTGGAAATTGTGTTCAGGCAGGGACCTCTTACTACTACAACAAGGTCATTTGCATAGCCTTGTGTATCGTAGTCGAGATCCGCCATGATTACAAGTAGTAGGTCTACAGCTAGTGTATAGGAGTAAAAATACTCCTCCTTGCGGACAGCCTCTGGTAGTATAAAAGTTGTGCGAGTGTTTGTTTAGCGTAACTTTCGCACACCTGTTGGAGAGCATATATTTCACGCATCTGGTGGTTGTGACATCAACACCTTTCAGGATGGTAGCCGTAGGTGTGTTGTCAAAGGCCCCCTCAACGTCCAAAAATGCACATAGAGCTGTCTGCTTATCCTCTAGGGACCTTTCTGCCTTTTCAATCAGAGCTACTAAGGCAGATTCTGTGGATTTACCCTTTTGGTAAGCATGTCGGACACAGCATGTCTAGGACGACTATGGTAGGTAAAAGTTTTTTAGGGCTCGGTGTCTGGCAAAGAAGAAGAAGGAACGCTTATGGGATCACTTTGATGTCCGTTTGTTTGTCAGTTAAGATCCTTTATTTCATTAACGTATGAAGGTAAAAAAGTTACCACAGTTTTTTTAGTAAATGTATATTCAGCCAAATTTTCTTTAATATTTCACTTCGAATCCTATACTATTTACAAAGAGGAATAAACAAAAACTTACTTTTTCCTTATTAATATCATTGGATTGTGCTGGAATGCGGTAGAAGTTATGTATTTAAAAAAGTATTGAATGATATTATTATTTAGTATAGATTTCTCAGACATAGATATTTTCCAGCAGTAAAAAGTATCCTACATTATGACAATTTTTCATTAAAATCTCTTCCGTGGTTTTTCCATAATGCGGTCACAGACAGATAGACAGACAGGCAGAAAAAAATTCTAAAATTATAGATTCGGCCTCTGTATTGATAATAATGTCTATTTCAATGAGATTTTCCAAAAAATATTTATTTTACAGATTCGGCTTAGTCACAATTTTATTATATGTATAATAGATGTTTTAGTGCGAATCATATTTAACATGATTACAACTTGTCTTACAGTGAAGGAAAACATCGTGTGGAAACCTGCATGTCTGCGAAAACCTAGCATGCAGCGTGGTGGACTATGGCCTGATCTCCCTCGTATTAAAGGGACGTCTTTGCCCAGTAAGTGGAACGTTAAAAAGGGCTGAATACATACATATCGAGTAGTGTAGTATCAGACAAAGCGTCACGTAGTGGCACAGATAGTACTACATTTTCTTTAATTCTAAAGCAGGAAAATATAGCTATTATTTTTTGTAGTTTCTATCTGGTTTTCGCACGCGTGTAAAATTTTAATTAATTCGTAACATGATTGCTGTTTCACATTGGATCGTATATACTCGTAAGCAATATTTTTAGATATACTTATACAATTGTGAATCTTAGCAGTACTTTACATTAGACTAGCGGCTTACAACAAAAACAAATGTATCCCATGGGACCCTACATTTTTCCGGGATAAAAAGTAGCCTATCTGCTATTCCAGACTATTAATCTATCCAGACTATCCAGACTACTGCTCTGTGCCAAATTTCATCCAGATCCGTTCAGCCGGTCTGGTGTAATTGAATGACAAACATCCATCCAAACATCTAAACTTTCACATTTATAATATTAATATGAGTATATTAATTTATATATACCTAATAAAAAAGGTATAAATATTCAAACAGATTCACATTTTTGTTAAACTTATTGTAGCTTCGCCTTATTTTATTAAAAAAGAAAATTACTCAATGCACAAACATGACACCATAACTTCTTTATTACACGTATCTTAAGATTCCAAGGGAGGAATAAATTCCTGGTACCCGAATGACTATAAAAAGATTTCATACGATTTCGTCTTTCTTTGTTGCTGTTAAATGATTAAATGGCTCGCCATGACCTCAGTTTCTCGTAATCAATCGACATTTATGAGTTAATGCTATTAATTTAATTACGCTCTTATTACGGTGTTGCAGTAATTGGCCTGCTATTACACGTCGCCTTCTAGAAACTTAGGGGCAGCTTACACTGGTACACTAACTTGATTCATCTTTTCATGTAAATTATAATCGGTTTATAATTATTAATGCGAAAGTTTGTACGTGTGTTTGTTACTCATTCACGCTGCTATGATCTGGGGTAGCACATATGTATGTAGGTTCCTGAAGTAATATATACTCCTAAGGACGTAAGTTGTTTTATTTACGTTTTTTTTAATGTAAGTACTAGTAAATATGTAGTCACTAAAAATGACGCCACTTATTGCGTAACCTTTGCGTTATCTATAGGTACCTACATATAATAAAATTCTGAGTGGAATCTGTACATTAAATATTTTTTGGTAAATGTTATTGAAATAATCATTATTATCGATACAGAGGCCGAAGCAATTGTTTTTAGAATTTTTGTCCGTCTGTCTGTCTGGGAAAGCAACATGTGCAAACAACTGGACAGATTTTGATGAAATTTAGGATGATAGCTGGTTATCTGGGCCAACATACAGGATACTTCGTACTATGAAAAATATCTCATCTCTGAGAAATCTATACTAACCGTTAAAACGCACCCAGGGTCGAACCCGAGCGAAGCGAGGGTAAAACGGTAGTTTGGAAATATTATGTATTTCAT